AATGAACACGCAGCTTCACAACATAGCAGGATAATACCAAGCCGTATTGTTATTGTTTTCCCTTGGATGAATTGTCCGTGGCTCGCGAACCTATACCTGAGGTAAATTTACACTTTTCAATAGGACTTTAGTATGTAAAATTCAAAAGAATTTCTAATAAATACTATGCTTTCAAGCTTATAAATATCAGCTATATTTTCGATTATAGCTTTCTAAATACTGGTGGTATTTAAATTCGTAATATCTGGATACATTTTTACTGTTTTGCTTTCTGTGTGGAATTTTCCCATTTCAAACGTGTATATAGCAAACTCAGCATTTTCTTTGAAACTAACTTGTAATTGCTTTTGAGCACTCATAGTAGACATTTTTGATTTTTCCAATAACAGCTAAGTAACGGACGTGGGCGAAATTCTCTTTGAAATCACCGTTACAGTAGTGGAATATAACTGCAAAGAGCTTTTCTAAAACGAAATAACTATCGACGCTTATAAAATCATGCACTATTTATAATATTACTAACTATCGCCCGCGACTCCGTTCGCGTGGAATTAGAAAACCGAAAATAGCCTATGTGTTCTTCCAGACTATGCGAAATTTCATCAAGATCCTTCGAACCGTTTAGGCTACAAACTCTAACAAATATCCATCCATCCATTCATCCATCCATCCCAACTTTTGCATTTATATTATGAGTAAGATTTGTTAAATATGTTTAGACAATTTAATTCAATTTCGATTTGTCTAAAAAGTTAGTTGCAACCCGTTGAGAGCCAACAGCAAAACTATAAGAGCCAAACAATGGGTAAAGCAGTTCAAACAAAAGAGAATTATATCATGGAAGCCCCGCTGACTATGACTTTCCGAGAGTAAGTTAAAACCTCCTTTGTTTGCTAAAGGACACATAATTAAGAGGTTTAATTTATTATGCACTGCGTTTATTCATGCAATTATTTCTTTCGTTATTTCATAATAACCTGACTCTTTAACGGATGTACAAATGTAGAAAATAAAACAATACGTAACTGATTTATTTTAAAACAATAAAGAGATACGAACAAAATTATTGAACAGCAGAAATAAAACGCATCATGAATCAGGCAAAACAAATGAAAAATATAACGCACTAAAATTACACGAGTAGCTTTATATTAATGAATATTGTCTTCTAAATTTAAATGAATATTACAAAACACTTCAATAATAACATAAATGTAAACAAGCAAAAGTGATCGTACTCTTAATGATGAAACTTATGGAACTTTCCTCCGAGGCTTCGGAGCGTCAAGAATAGACTTATCGCTGTTAATCGCGCCACCAGATAATTTTCAAGAACAAATTTTAAACTTTCCAGTTTAAATAAATTAACATTAAATCTTCCTTAAGCTTTAAGATTTCTTTCCAAAGAAATAAAAATGCTATAATTGCAATTACGTATTAAATTTATAAATTGTGTTCCTAGACAGTAAATATTCATTTAATAATGATGATGACAATATTTTTATTGTTCACCTTTAAACTCCTCGTTAACTCTTACCTACTTATTATAGTGACTTGATGAAGAAACAACTTAAAGTAGTACCTTCGTTTTAGTATACTTTTTTATATATTTGTGTAAAAAGTGTTAAATAAATAAAAACCGAAATAGTTTGTAACCATAACCTAAAGTAAAATTTAGCGGCGGAAGGGGGTTAATCGAACGCTAAAGGCGAAATAGCGTAAATTATTAGTTGTATTGAATAACAAGACATCAGAACTAAAGTTATACTACTTCAGTCCCATGCTAACACATTCCCAAACTTGCCAGTAACTTCATTTCTCTGTATCAGTTTGTGGCCGATGTAAGAAAGTTTCGATAAACTTGTCTACAAGCGAAGTTTGTCGAACTAAATTAAGAAATTGTTTTTAGACTTTTCTATAACATATTACTCTAAAAAAACATGTTAATATTTTTTTTCTATACTAATACTAATATTATTATAATGGAAAGATTTGTATTTTTGTATGTATTGAAATAACTCAAAAACTACTGAGCCTATTTCAAAAATTCTTTCACCATTATAAAGCTACGTTATCGCTAACATAGGCTATATTTTTTCATCAAAGTCGCGAGCATCAGCTAGTTTATTATATGCAGACTTTATTATCAAGTATTTAATTTTAATATAAATTAAATGTTGGGCTACAAAGCGCAATAAGTATTGGATTTTACTACAATTAGAACAAATAAATTCCTCAAGTAATAAGCCAAGTTCGTTTACTAGTAATTTGATTGAAGCTATTTAAAGAGTAAATAATGTGAAACACAATTTAATAAAAACATAATTTTAATTTTATCTTAAAACTGTAATTGATATTAATTAAATAAAATATAATAAAGTAGAATTTATATTACAATTTTGACGTATTACATTAAAATCGATATAAATTGAACGAGTTCTCGAAAATAGATTTGCAAGTCACGCAATTGATGATTGGTAGCCTACAAAAGAGCCAATCACGCGGCACTAACTCACAAGTCTTCAGGATATAAGTCACGTTCTCACCCTTCAAACTTAAACAACGCCTCCCACCGACTCTTATCTGCAACTCCGAATTTCAAATTCACCTCAAGTTTAAAACTAGAACTCGTATTAATATTGTAACCTACAGTTTTCACCATTAAAAAAACTGAATACTGTTATCCCCATAATACTGATTAAAAAAAGAAAATTAAAAAATCAAAGGTAACTGGAATACGTTTCTGTTCAAGTGTGTTCATCAATGCAAACACAATATAAACATTTCAATACTTTAGATTGGATTGACACAAGTAATTAGTTTTCTTAATCATAACATATAGAAAATTAAATTTATATAATCTATCATTTCGTAATATCTCATTATCTTTATTAACTAGCCAACGCTATATTTGAATAATTTATGCCGGGTTCGCTGATCATAAAATTTTGTGAGCATAGTGAAAATTTACTTAAATCTGGTTTTTAGACCATCATATGAATTTTAAAATAATCAAACATTTGTTAGAAAAAAGGCGGTAGTTTGATGAAGGTTTTTTTAATAATGCAAATAACGCAAAATAGGAAACACGGAAGGATGTGTAAGATATATGCTAATGGTGACTTTATTTGATGACTGAAGTGATACAAGACTGGTGAAGACTACTCTTGTCGTCCTCGCTTAGTAATTTTTTACTTCCCCAAAAAGTTAGGGACATACAACTTTCAGTAGCAACAAATTACGATAACAATATTTTAAGTATAACTTGTAATAGTGTTAAGATGGCTTGAGATTTCGAATGGGTTGAGATGTCAGCCACAGGATTGAGTATTCAAGGCTCACAAAGGAGCCAATCATGCCGCGGCCGCCGGCCCCCGGCACGTCTTCTTACTTCCGACTTGAGCATTTCGAACATTCTGATAAAAACATAATGCCATCTAATTTATGTAATCAAAATTCAATGATGCGGTTTAGAGACAAGTGGAAAAACAGTCCTAAGTATCATATAATAAATAGATAATAATATAAAAAAGCAATATGTATTATGTATTATAAGTACTATACTCTCAATGACAACAAAGTTACAAAATAAATAACATTAAATTAAAAAATAAACACTTTTAGATTTTTAGTTCTAAGCTTCTATCTGCCTTTTAGACTTTATTCATTTCTGCGTGAAACGGGTTTAACAGAGTGCTAGAAATTTAATAATAATATCAGGCGCCTGCCAGACAGCAGTTAATACTATAGGTCATAACTAAGACAAAAGACAATTCCTATTTTGTTCTGTATTCGAGTTCTATTTAGGTTGACCCTTACTTAAAGGTCTCTATCCAAAGTTCCACTCACTAAAAAGATCATCGAATTATACAGCTTTCTAAAAATACTTTTTATTCTCCTTATATCCTGCAGTTTATTCTAAAATGTTCGAACTGCAGTAACAAAGTGCTACTCGCTGCTAACAAAGAAGGCTAATCACACAGCGCTAACTGTCAAGCCCTCGGGAAAAGCACGTTTTTCCACTTTACCCTTTTGCATCCTTCTTAGACAAAACAGATAAATTGTCATTCGTAGAATTATTATTTTGTACAAATCTAAAATTAAAATAAATTAAGTGCGCAGTTGTATTTATAAAATAAGCATATTTTATAAATGATAATTGACTGGATTACTTGTAGTGTAAATTATCCATACGTTTTTTTCGCTTGTCGAGAAATCCATCTCTGCCGATCCGTCGATTAATAAAATTCGAGTACGGACGGTTAATCCATTCTTAAACAACGGAAGCGTGACGTCACAGTTTTAATTTTCTAATGTCACGAGCAATAGCGGTAAGACTTTCCTTTATTCTTTTCGAATCATGGACGGGAACAATTCAAAAGTTACACCATTAAGATAAAGTTCGGTCTAGTAAACTTTGAGTTGTAATTAATTTTCATTATTCATTAAAACTAAAATGTACTTAATAGTGTTAATGAAATACATTATTGCTCTTATCGCTATAAGATTCTTAATTTTTAATCATCACAGTATAGTCCTGATTTCTCAAAATTGTTACTAAAAAACGCATTTCGCATATATTTTGTTCCAATTATATTTACATGCAATTTAAATAAGTTACGGTTCATACTCCTACTCTTAACATCAACTTTTAAATATGTTATTCGAGATAAACGTTGATAACTGCTCCCCTGAAGTACCTATTAAATTCTATCCTAAGGTTCCTGAGGTTCTCATGAAATACAAAAAGTTTTATCGAAATATAATGAAAAGTAGTACCGGTACAATCCTATCTTATGATACTCTAACGTGCACCTTTCTCGGACTCGTGTTAAAGATTATTTAGATATTAGAATACTCTTTATAATTAAAGACTTTTTGACCAACGCGCCCAGGTAAATAAGATATAATTACAACAATTTATCGTTTGGACTCGAAGCATTATTTTCATAACATATGTGTCTATGGTGACAGGGAATATAGAGAATAGTAAAATATGACAACACCGTAGGACGCGCCGCTTGCAGCTGTCACATTTGCTTTCATCATAAATTTCATTGGAGAAAAACAAAAATTTAACTGGGTTATAGTAAGTTCTACATTATTTATCACTTATTGTTAATTTATAAGATAAACACAAAAATACTAATATGTGTTTCCTATTCACAGATGCACTGTAAAAATATATAGAAATGGACCAACAATTTTCATTGTCTTGGAACAATTTTCACGGAAACTTGAGCAAAGGTTTCGCCGGTTTGCTTGGGAAAGGCGAATTTGTTGATGTTACGCTAGCTGTCGAAGGGCATTTACTACAAGCGCACAAAGTTATTCTATCAATATGTTCTCCGTACTTCAAGAAAATGTTTCAAATGAATCCTTGTCAACATCCTATAGGTATTTATCATTGCTATGTAGTTGGAACTACCTTGTATAATGGGCTAAAAATGAAGCTCTAAAATATTTAATTGCTTATATTTTCAGTTGTGTTGAGAGATGTGACTCTCAAAGCTATGAAGGATCTCTTACAGTTTATGTATCATGGAGAAGTCAGTGTTAAAAGAGAAGATCTCACTAGTTTTATAGGAACTGCTGAAGTTTTACAAATCAAAGGATTAACTCACAAAGAGGTAACTCATAAAAATATAAACTAAACTCAAATTCAATGTAGTTCGAATAAATCATAACACCTTTAAAAAATTTTAACTTCCATATTGCATGAAATAAAATTATCACTTTTTCCTTGTATTTAATAACTCTTTACATATTAATTGGTCTATTTACTGTAGAGTAAAAGCTTTTATCTGATATAATAACTGATACTCTACAATAAATAGACCAATTAATATATAAAGAGTTATTAAATACAAGGAAGTGACAGTCACTTGTCCTGTACTTTTATAATTGATTTTAGACTGAAGATGAAGAGGAAAAAATGAAAGATTTATCGAAGCACAGTATAGTGCACCAGAACAATAGCCCTGAACCTGAGTCATGTATGTCTGACAACTATGATAACAGTCCTAATGAATTACCAGAAAGTAATGAACAGGATTTAGTGAAACAGAGACAATTTATAGAGAAACTTCAAAGGTTTAGTCATTTAAAGAGAAAGTCAGAAGAATTTCTGCAAAGTGCATACTATTCTGATATTTTAAATACTGAAAAACGTGCCAAAATCAATGAGAAGATGGCCTACAATAAAGTTAATAGTTTACTACACAACAGTTACGAGAACTTTAAAAATGTTTATGACGAATCCCCAATAGATATAACTCCTACATTGAATACATCGCACAAAGACGTAGATAAAGATGACAATAAAGAACAATCTACAAATCAGATAGAATTAAAAACGGAATGTGATGATATAGACATTGTTGTGACAGATCCTGCCGTTTGTACAACACCCAAAAGTTATGATGGTTCCAGAGATAGCAAAAATAATTCAACAATCGCTTTGGAATATCAATCACCACAAGACAGTAAGTATTTTTGAATCTTTAAAATAATGTATTTTTGTAAATAACATTGCCTTGCTAAGGAATGTATTTTTAACTGACTTCTAAAAGAGGAAGTTCTAGATTTGTATGTTTTTTTTTAGTATGAATTTTGGTGTTGCTTAACTGATGTTATTTTCTTTACCCATTACCACATTTAATATGCCAATAGCCTAATGGTTAGAGGATTTGCGATCACAGCTTCAAATCCCGCCATTTGATTATTGTAAACTATTCCTGGCACAAGCCTAAAGATTCATTGGAATCTTGTAAATATCTTCTAATATTTATAAAGAATATGCCACTAATTTACCCACAGTGGCATAAAATGACATTCAAGTCTTTTATATATCTACAAATGCACCCTTGTTTTTCTGTATTTTATAAGCAATTTTCGATTTCATTTTTATTTTCGCTTATTAATGCTTACTTCTTTTGTAAATAACAGGATTATAGATTGTGTTGAAAATGCAATCCTTTGTTACTTTTATCGACTTTGTTGCATATTTTCTTTAAAAAACACTTCATTTTGCACACTTGTAAACACGATGGCATTTTCAACATTTTTGAATCCTATTTTTAACACTTAGATTATTATTTTCAAATGTAATGAAAATGCCCATCGTGATTTCAGATACCACAAGTTTGAACTCATTATTATTGGACTTTAAAAACATAGTCAATGGTAAGGTGACTAACGCAATGTTGAGAATTAATTCTAATGAAGAATTCCCAAGACCGATGCTTGAACACCGATTGGTAACAATACCACAAAAAGAAGATGGGAAGAAGAAATATCCTCAACGCTCCTGCAGATTATGCTGGAAGTTAGGAAAAAGAAGGGACACTCGCTTTATGTGTAGCGCTTGTGAATTACCATTCTGCAAGTCACCATGCTTTGAAGTACATTTTAATGGTCTTTTCAAAGTGTCCCAATTACAAGGAGACTATTTCGCTACATAATATTTTAAATCACAAACCCAAAATGGGTCTTTATATCCTAGGTGATAAGGTTTACAATAAGAAGTGATATTTGGTTAGAGCAACAGAATAAAGAGTGAATCAAAGATTCAAAGGAAATTGGGACCAAAATTTCAATTCCTATATAACATCCTATAAAAAAACATTATTTATCAATTTATAGACACAGCTTTATATCTCTATAAAATACTTAGTATTCATATAAGCATCTAAATTATGCAAATAATATTTCGAGACTGTGATAGTATATTTGGATTGAAAACCAATTACGCTGTGACTTAAAGTAAATCAGTATATTTCAATTTTATAACACAAAAACATTGTGCCATCAACACTCTGCCATATTTAAAGACTTTTTATTGCTCATGTTCTAGTCTATTTATTGTATTCAAATAAGTTTAAAACATATTACTCAAAAATTTACTTAAAGTATAAATGTATACTGTTCACTTTTGTATGAGATTTTATGTATAAAATTACATTAATATGGTTAAATGCACAAACACTAAAAATTTTATAAAAAAAATTATGTTTAAAACATTTCCCTGTTTTTCTTAACACAATCGGTTATGGGATAAGCAAAGTTCAATCATGGTTCGCTTTTTCTCCATACATGAAAAAAGAAGATAAAAAAATCTCATGCTAAATTGAACAGATAAGATAATTATATGATCTCTATGGCTTCAAGGTTAACAAAGCCAAATTATTTTTTTTACATTCCTGCATTTTTTGCTTTTTGACATTTTTGGCTTGGCTGATTTTTTATATTTTTTTACATGTATGCTTAGTGTAAGATGAAAACCATAATAAATATTTTTGTATTCTTTGTGTGATGTTACTACATGATAGTGACTTAATATAGTGTTCTATATCTTTAATTAAATGATTTTTTGCATATTTATTCATTTCATTATCCCTTGAAAAATAGCATACATCCTTAAGTACCATTAAACTAAAAAAAAAACTACGAAGTAATATATCACTTAGATGTATTTTACTTTATATTATTTTTTGTTCAGGTTAGGTACATTTTAATTATTTTTTCTATAATTCGTCCGGAATAACTTGACACCCAAATCCGATGACGTAATACGGATATGTATATCCGAAAACGAGGTATGAAAACACTCAAAAATATTACCGTTTCATTGTATTTGGATGTCATGTTTTTGTTGATGCATAGTAGCATTATGTGGAATGGTTTAATCATTTTTTATTATAGACTTTAAATCAATTGAAATAATGTTTATTTTACATTTCAGGTGCTCTATCATTAGTCATTAACGGCTCTAGCGAGAATCAACAATTGCCGGTACGTTACAAATACATTTACAGCAGGAAGGGACATAAACAATTAGTGCATATGAACTTTGTGTACACAAAACATTCGACAACACATGGAAAAACATCATGGAGATGTGTGCAGTATTTTTCTTTGAATCGTTGCCCGGCAACGGTTGAAACCATAGACTCAATGATTTATGCGGTCAACCATCAACACAACCATGAAGATTGCTATGACAAACTAACAAGAAATAATATTTATGAAATGAACGCTCCAAAGTGAAACTTATGTTTGTGATCTTACAGATGAGATTAGTAACAATTTTCGAATATCTACTTTAGAAGCATAGCTTATATTTTACATTTGTAAACCATACATTATAAATCGTGCAAGCAAAATTACATCATACTCAAATAGGGTGAGGTTAAGAAGCTTCATACAAAATAATGTAAAAAGATCATAAAGCATAATTGTTATGAATAAAGACAAAATTATTCTCATCTGTTAGGGCCTGTCCCACCGCTGGCTGATAGGCTCAGATAGCATTAAAATGACGTCACTCAGATAAGGTAAGAAAATCCGATATTTCCGTCACATATATTACACAGATTGTTATCAGACAATTTATAATTTGGTGGGACAGGTCCTAAGTCTTATATTTTTTGATTCTGGGTTCTTTAAAATTGTTGCTAATTTCAATCGAAGTATTAGTTTTAAAAATATATTTGTAAATTGTAAAGTTCCTATGTACTATTATTTATAATTACGCAATAAGTAACGCTAGAGGTACATAATATATGTAATCAAAATATTGCAATAAATTTAGTTACATAAAGGGCATATATCACATTTAACTTTAGTATTTATATAAGATTCATACCACATTTACATAGTTTCTGCGGTCTTCAACTGCTTGTTTTATTTATTTTTATATGAAATGTATTTAAAGTATTACACCATTACTTGTAAAATATAGTATTTATAAATAAATTATTTAACTTAACAATATAATTTACTATGCGTTTCAAATGGAAATCTGCCTAATGTTGACAAAGATCTGTCCAAAATTGGTAAAGCAATAAGATTTCAATAGAGAACTCAACTGACAAATTTTTTTTCTAATCGCCAGTCTTTTTTACTTTACAAAAAGCCATTATTTTGGATGGTACCTTCTGTATCTAGTCATGAATGGTATTTCTTTATCTTAACAATTAAGTTGTATTAAATAAGACCCCAATATTATATAAAATCAATTTATTTACCATAGAATGTTTTAGTGATTAAATAAAACTCAATTTTTTAATTGTTTTGTTGATTCTGCTGATACGTTTGTAGCGAGTAGCGCGGCTGCCCGTTTTCTTGGTCTATGCTTTTTACTGAAACCAACACCTGAAATAACAAAATTTTTATTATATGCTTATATATTTGCAGAAACAAATTCTTACTTATTTTATTTCAAATAAAATCGTAATTGCATACTTACGTATATCTACATCTGGTTTTTCTTTCAAACCGAAAGATTTAGCAACAACATCCATGTCCATTGTTAATAAATTAAAAATATGCTTTAATTTTTTAACTTCAAATGCTCTTATGTAACCTTCAAATGCTTCTTCGGCCATTTTGACAAATTCTGGGTTCTGTAATGCTATATCAAGCTGCAAATAGATTTATATCTTTGTTTATTTAAAAAAGTACATTGAAACAAATTTAAATGCTTTGTTGTATACATACATGTTCTACTTACATTCTTTTGAAGACTACTTAATTTACCCCAGAATTCATATTTGTCTAAATATATTTTAGCTTCCTGTAGATATTCTATGAATTCCTTCTCTTCTGGTCTTAGCAATAAAACTGCATGTCCCGCTGCTCCCAAGCCTCGAGCTGTTCTGCCCACTCTGTGAATATATTCCTAGAAAATAAAAATAATGCACTATAATTAAAGGCTTAAATGAAGTCTATCGCTTCTAACCAAATCACTATTATATTAAAAATCATGATGATACAAAAAAATATTTTATTGTAATAAATCTATTTTAATTTAATTTATTTAGTGTTATTAACACATTCACTGCCACAAGTTGAAAATTAAGCTCACTTTAGAAAATCATGAATCATAAAGGCACTGAAATATAAAACTTACATTGGCGTCAGCTGGTGGATCAAATTGCACAATCCAATCTACTGCAGGTATGTTTAAACCCCGTGCCGCTAAGTCAGTGCAAAATAATGCAACTTTTTCAGCTTTATAAAAATTGTTCATAGTCGCTGTTCTATCAGATTGGTTCATTTTACCCTAAAACAATACATAGTATGTTTAACATTATTTAGACCTTTCTAAAAGCTTCTTAGTTCTGTGATTCTGTTTAAAAAATAAAGATATCTTAAGATTTTTAAGGGACTTGTATTTCATGGTAAGTGGTTGGATTAGTATGCCATATTAGTTGAGCTAACTAGATAAACTGTATGAAAAAAAGACTAATTTTTATTTTGGATATTTCATAACAAGTATATTTTTTCATACAATCAATTTGAAGCTAATTAAAAATTCAAACTTACATGAATACATAGAACAGATAAATTGCAATATTTGTTTAAGAATTCATGATGGAACACAACTGACTTACAGCTAGAAAAAAATACCATGACTTTGAGATTTTGTGTCTTCTTTAATAATTTATACAACCAACAGAGCCTGTATTCTGTTTCACAAATCACATATCTGGAAAAAATATGAGGTGTAACTTAAAAGGTATTATTAAATGTCGCTTTTATTCCTAATATTAAAACTAACTTGCAATGGCAGTAAATATGTTAAATACAATAAAAAAGTGGTTTTTATCTTTTACATACTAAACTATTGGAATTGTACATTTTCCATTAGTAATCTTTAGTAATACCATAAATGAGAAAGTTCGTCATAAGACCTAGATGAATTTTAGAACAGACCAGAGTGTGGAAGAACACAGACTACCCATCAAGTTTTTTATATAGCTTGTATAGAGTTGCAGGCAAAAGATGTATAATTTCTTACCCCTGTTTTAACCCTTCAACTGTTGCCCTGTCATTGTCTTCATTAGTGTTAATTAAATGTAAATCATCTCTCATTGCTGACTTTATCAATTCCTCTGTTGTTTCTGCATGTGTCGCACTGAATAACATTGTTTGTCTTTGTTCTAAAAGTGAAATAATAGTGTAGTCTAAACTGCTGAACAGGTCTCTGACATTTGGTATAGATTTAGAGAATAGTCTGGAAGAACACATCTGCTACTTTTGTTTTTTTGCAGATAAGCTAGTTTTAATACAATAATTTCTATGTAACTATTGAAAAGACTTAAGCACTAGATATACATAAAATTGTACTTACTGGGAAGCCTTTTTATAATCTGTTTCAAGTCTTCCTCAAAGCCGTATTGATATATTTTATCTGCTTCATCCAATACTAAACATTGAACATGATTGTAGTCAAACTCTTTAGTCCTCATATGATCAAATAACCTTCCCGGAGTTGCAACAACTATGTGAACACCTGAAACATTGTACTGATAAATTGTTTATTTTATCTTACTCCATTTATGTTCCTCTTAAAATGCCAAAGGAAATATGCAATGATTGTTTATATGATCGGGTATTTAAAAAAAACGTCATTTCTGTGATGTGAAAAAGATATGCGAGAGGAGCACATAATAGGAAATATTTTTTTTTTATAAAAGTTTTAAAACTAACCAGCAGCAAGTTTGTTGCTTTGCATTTTCCTACTTTCACCACCAATTATCAATGCTGAAGTGATTCCTTCATGGTATGATATAATTTCCTGGAGTACTTGGTATGTTTGGGTTGCTAGTTCTCTAGTTGGCGATATTATTATACCAAATGTACCTAAAATGGATTAAAGAAGCTGTTAAACATTTGCATTAATGTACACGATTCACAACTATTAAAATAAGCACATTACCTTGGTAATTATTTTGCATCTGTTTGATAACAAGTTCTACTGAAGGGATTAGAAAAGCCAAAGTTTTTCCAGAACCTGTCTTAGCCGTAGCGACGACGTCTCCTCCATCTAATGCCTTGGGCAAAACTTCGGCCTGAATGTCAGTCATATATTTAAATCCCATACTTTTAATTGCATTTATTGTAGCCTGAGAAACTTTACATTTTAATGTTTTAAACTTTGTCCTTTTGGTGTCATCCATTTACAATCTATTTCGACTCGCAGTACTAAAAGCAACTAAGTCTGTTTCTATTTCAAACTTCTGCCTGCAATATTTTAATTAAATATAACCTCAATATTAGTTGTCAATGTTTTGATTTTAAAAAAGCTTCATCAAGTGTCACTGTATGTCACTGTCAATGCCGTCCTCTTACAATTTAAATTCCTACCAACACTCATCATGGCAATCCCGTAGGTTACCGATTACGATTACCAGCATGAGCAAAAAAGTTCTTTTATCTGCGTATTTTTGATTATTTTGACATTGACATTTGTCATTTCCACGCCGTATCTGAGTCCACGTTAGTTTTTAAATGCAGATTTTAAAATAAGTGATTTACGAAATGCCTACGCCAGATAAAATTCTATTACGGAAAATAAAGAAACGTGAGAAAAAGAAGTTGAAACTAATAGCTACGAAGAAACAAAGTGAAAATGAGAATACAACAGGTAACCTCAAAAAACGTTAAAGTTGTAATAACATGCTTATTTAGTTTATCACATAAATACTGTTTATTAATTTTAAGTAATGGTAAATAATTAATATTTTGAACAGTTCCAGATAGTGAAAATGATGACAATAACACAATGAAAAGGCCACATGAAAATGTTGAAGCAGAACAAACCAGTTTACCTAAGAGTAAGTATTGTTATATTTTTCCAAATAGCTAATAAGTCATACATAAAACGTCTTTAATGAGTTCTTTTGATTGTAGAAAAGCAAAAAAAGAAAAAGAAAGAAAAAGCAACAGCCAGCGAAATAAAAGAAGAGACTGCATCTGAAGAAAATGACTCAACAGAAGAAGACAGCAAAGAAAATGTTGCAAATATGAATGGTGAAGGAAAACCGGATGATAGTAGTCAATGTAAGTTTTAACTAGTTTAACCATGCATTTTCCCTTCTTTTTTTGTTTAAATTTCCCATATTTCTGATGTTTTGGTTTTATTTCAATTGATACATCAAGGTAGAACTAAGTTGGTGTTCTAGCAAAGTAATCTAGTTTCTGGTAAATATCTTACTTCTGCATTATAAAAATGTTTAGGATTAGCTTGATGAATTTTTATTATTCTTTTTATATTATCATTTTAGTACCTGGATCAAGTTTATGCCTCGGTATATTGTCTGATCAAAAATTCACATCACTGGAAGGCAAAGTGTGTGAACCTACTCTAATGGGCATCAAAGATATGGGATTCACAACAATGACTGAAATACAGGCTAAGGCAATACCACCACTTTTGGAAGGTCGAGATTTAGTTGGTGCTGCAAGAACTGGCTCCGGAAAAACTCTCGCATTTCTTATACCCGCTATTGAACTCATTTATAAGTTGCAATTTAAACCAAGGAATGGTAAGATTTTTTTATGATTTTATTGTTAAAAATTAAGGACAGAAATGTGAAAAAAAATCTTAACCTTGCTCTCACTTTCTTCCTTGTATCCCAAACAATAATAGGTTGAGGCAATGTGTTTCAATGTTTATACTCTGCAAAATACTTCTAGTGTCATAGAGTTCTTAAATTAATGGAAATGAAATTTTTACTATTATTCTTAAGCAACAGAAGTGTTATAGTCTATATTGATCTTATTTTGATTACTTAAATGATGACAAAAAAGGCGAATGTGAAACAGCCTCCATATAGTAACAGTAGTGTTAATAAAAAACAAATTGAATCTCCGGGTTACACCGTCGAGGTACATTTGTTTTTGGTTACACACTGAAATGTATGTAGAGAGTTGTTTATGAACGCAGAATGGATATCTGATCATTTCAAAAAATATTGGGAAAGAATCAGAATAGAAAAACATGTATAACTAAATTAAGTTTATTTTAAGGTACTGGTGTTATTGTTCTGTCTCCAACAAGAGAATTGTCAATGCAAACATTCGGAGTGTTGATGGAATTAATGAAATATCACCATCATACTTATGGCTTAGTTATGGGTGGAGCGAATAGGAGTACAGAAGCTCAGAAACTTTCTAAAGGTAAGTGTTTATGTGAAAAAATATAGTGAATATGTAATGTATACTAATATAATAAAGTGTTAAAACATACTTCTTTTTGATGGATGTCAGCGATCACAGTATATTTTTGAATAATTCACTCAAGTTTAATATTTTTATGCGGCTGAAGCCACAAGGGAACTGCATTTTTGATATAAAAATAAGCTGCCTAAGTATTAATCATTGTAATAAAGACTACAAAGTTTGAATATTTATCATAATTTTTTCTAGGTATAAACATACTTGTGGCAACACCAGGAAGATTGTTGGATCACTTACAGAACACACCAGATTTCTTATATAAAAACTTGCAATGTTTGATCATTGATGAAGCTGACAGAATATTGGAAATAGGTTTTGAAGAGGAAGTCAAACAGATTATAAGACTCTTACCAAGTAAGTAAAATATAAAATGCTTGTTTATTTAGAATGACTAACCTTACTTACTTAACCAATAGTAACTAAAAATTCAAACTTTTGAATGCTCTGACTAAATCAGTCAATTTATCATATTTCTTCATTAGCTATATGCAAGAAGTACTGCTGATTGGTTTATATTTTTTTTGTTATTAGAACGTCGCCAAACAATGTTGTTCAGTGCGACACAAACAAAGAAGACAGAATCACTAACAGCGTTAGCTGTCAAACACGAGCCTGTATATGTTGGTGTGGATGATCATAGGGAACAAGCCACAGTTGATTCATTAGAACAAGGGTAAGTGGCGACATATACCTTAATCTATATCTTCTATTCTATACATGTAATAAAATTGGAAGTTTGTAATATCAAAAGAAAAATGCCAGATTTCTGAAAAATGATGTATTTGTGTTGCTGATAAACAAAAATCGCATGTAATTTTTTTTTTCGGGGTAATTTCGGGTAATCTCCGAAACGGGTGGGCCGATTTCGACCGGATTTTCACTGAAGGGTAGCTGACATAGACGGGCATATTATAGGCTACTTTTTTTTAATATCGCGCAGTCAAAATGGCGTAACGGGTGGTCCAATTTTGCACTAACTGTTTGTAAATGAATCAAAAAGATTGCAAGGTTACAGTAAGTTGCATAATTATGTATACACTAGCTTTCGTTTACGACTCTGCCCAGACTCAATACAAACTAAGTAGTCTATGTGTACTTGCATAAAGCATTAGGAATTGTATATAAAAAAAAGCTGAATGTACCAGTCTATGTTTCTGACCATGAATATATGTTATCTGTTGTTGTTTATATGAATAAGTGTATGCCAATGTCTTATGCAAGTCTGTAAAGGTATACATTTTATACAGCTGACTGTACTTTGTATTATGATTTTTTCTCTTGTTTTTGTTATTTTCACTTTCCATTCCTAATGTTAATTTTCGCCATTTCAAATTATTTCTATATGATTTCAGTTACATTGTTGTACCTTCTGAGAGACGTATGATGGTTCTATTCACATTCTTAAAGAAGAATAGAAAGAAGAAGGTGATGGTGTTTTTGTCGACTTGTATGTCAGTGAAATATCATCACGAACTATTCAACTATATCGATCTTCCCGTCATGTCCATACATGTGAGTAAAGTCCATATATGAAAAGACTTTAATTTCAGCGTAAAAAAATTAGTTAAAGAAAAATCTTTCTAGGATTATTTACTCTATAGACATCAGAAAGTTTAGACATAGAAGCCATTTGTATAAATTAGGTTTTAAATATGTATACTGACCTTATAATATATTTTTCAGGGTAAACAGCAGCAAACAAAACGAACAACAACATTCTTCCAGTTCTGTAACGCCGAGAGTGGTATCCTCCTCTGTACTGACGTGGCTGCCAGAGGTCTGGACATTCCAGCAGTAGACTGGATTGTTCAGTATGATCCCCCAGATGATCCTAAGGTAACCTATAAATCTAAAATGGTGCTTTAAAATTTTAAAGCTTGATAAGCCCTTTCATTTGGTATCTAATGAAAGTAGTAGTAGAGTACTATAAATAAAACGTTAAAAATGGCCGCCCCCCAAAAAATGACGGGTCATAAAAATTCAACATAAATTGGTAAAAGTCGTTTACTATTTTTTTTCTTTGTTGTAATTTGGTTCAACTAACTTTTTCCACACTCAATATGGCAAAGGTCTATATAGCCAATATGCCACCTCATCTTACTGCATGTTAACTGAGAATGACTATATCTTGGTTTTGATTGTTATCCCATTTTTTATAAATACTATAGAAATAGTATATCCTAATTTTTTTATAGTTAATGGTAATATAACTTCATTTGTTATTTATATAGGAATACATTCACCGCGTGGGACGGACTGCGCGCGGGCTGGGCACCAGCGGCCACGCGCTGCTGATGCTGCGCCCCGAGGAGCTCGGCTTCCTCAGATACCTCAAGCAGTCTAAAGTCACTCTCAATGAATTTGAGTTCTCGTGGAACAAAGTCGCTGATATACAACTGCAGGTAAGACAAATTAATATGCAAAATTTGATTTCCCTTTCGTTTTACTAATAAGGAAATAAGTATATTGTTGAGGTCAAAATGCAAAAGCAGAGCGGACTTTAAATTTTATTAAATAGTGCATTAAAATTATTTAAACCACACTGAGTCTGAGTTCTTAAAATGTCGTCCGTTTGTCCCATATTACGAACTTTTTTTTTTTAATTTGTTATAGACAACGTAATTGGAAAAAACTTAATTCACGTTAACCAGTTTTGATATAATCTATAAAGGTGTCCCTTAGTGGCGAGTTTTCAAATCATCAGATGGTAATCAATAAGCTAATTAGGTTAGCCTAACAATTTGATTTTTTTACAGTTGGAAAAATTAATATCAAGAAATTATTTCCTAAATCAATCGGCTAAGGAAGCATTTAAAAGCTACCTTAGAGCATATGATTCTCATCACCTGAAGACAATATTTGATATCGACACAATAGATTTGGCAAAGGTCGCTAAATCATTTGGATTCACAGTACCTCCCGCTGTTGAACTAAAAGTTACTCCTAAAGGACCGATGCAGAAGAAACGAGGAGGCGGTGGATTCGGTTACTTCAAAACATTAAATAAAGAACAGAAGAGAACTACCAAGACTAAGATATACAGACAGAAAGGGAATAATAAGCGAGCGATCAGCTGAGACTATTTATTTCATTTATTGTTTTTTTATTTAATGTGTCAAATACATGATTTTAATTATAAATATGTCGTTTTTTTTACCTAGTTAGTCTTAATCTTTTTTTGAGATTTAAACTCAAAAAAAACTGCCACCAATACAGCGAAAATTAAAAAAAACACAAGAAATTAAATTACAAGTTTTTATTAAACACTTAAAATATATATGCTTGCTCATTTGCCACCTTTTGTAATAAAAAAGATATATATAACATGTAGTTTTGTAAATCTTTCATGTAGACGAATTATTTCAATTAATTCTTCTTGTTATGTACTGTAAAAATGAGTTAAGGTTTTATAGTTTTCAACATAATTTTTTACTGTAGCTTAAATCAAAAAGGATACAAAAATCTATATGTGGTCTTTCTAAAAATCCGAATCCTTTCGCTGCAGCATCTAAATCCATGTTATTGATGTTAAACAATTTGTTCAATGGATGTTTCTTATAGCACCTTAAAAAGGAAAGATATGCCTTTCTTGCTAATGTCCTCATTACTCCATTATCTTTTATTAAATCTTGTAACTGAAAAATTAAAATGCAAAGATTACAATATGCGACGATCTCTGTTTAATCATGTAATGAAAAACCGTGGCAAATTTAAATTTATTTAATTAAGAGATTCATCAAATATGGACCAACACATCCAATAAAAATGCAAGCTTTAAAAAAATATGACTTCATCATTAAACTTAACAAGAAACTTAATTGTTTATTGGAGTTTAAAATGTACCATGCCTATTTTGTATCAAAACATATACTAAAAACCCACCCTACTAGGCTAGGTAGGCTCCAGGCCCCTCAGTGGGTTCGTTTAGTGAGCTGGTGAGATAATGATATACTGAAAATACTTACCATTTGTATTACTCCACTAGAAGGTACTTCAAAATTATATTTGTCTAAATAAACTTTTTTCATCTTCAGAAAATTAACGAATTCCTCTTCGTCTGGCCTTAGAAGTATTACGGCATTGCCTGATGTATTACTACCTCTAGCTGTACGACCCACTCTGTGGATATACTCCTACAAAATTAAGAATAAGATACTTTCCATTATCATTCCTTAATAATAAAGTGTACATTTTATTTAGTACCATAAGAGCGAGCGAGAAAGATGCATAGCATCAATATGTAGGAAAGAGAAAGGTGACTAACAGATTACTTGCCATCAACGTGCTTTGTCAGTCTCATGCAAAAAATTGAATATAATTATTGATATAACTCAAAAACTATTGAGCTGATTTCAAAAATTCTTTCACCAATAAAAAGCTATGATATCAGTGACTATATCACTTACAATTTTTTTTATTTCCACGCGAACAAAGTCGCGAGCAACAGCTTCCACAAGTAAAAAGAGGAAAAATTTATATTTTGCATGTATAGGTTTTAGTTAAAAACTATATGGCCAATTATAAAAATCCTTTCGCCATCCCACTTTATCCCTAAATAACATAGGCTATTCTAGTATAAAAACAGTCTCCCACAATATTGTTTGACTGATATCTCGTAAAGATATAACAAATTCGGTATCATACCTTTACATCTGTAGGTGGGTCATATTGTACAATCCAGTCAACATGAGGTATATCTAAACCTCTCGCTGCAACATCCGTGCAAAATAGTACACCAGTATTTGCTTCGACAAAACTTCTGTATGCTTCTTTTCTATTGGCTTGACTAAGTTTACCCTTAAAAGACCAGTTAAGGGTAAAAACATATCTAAAATACATTGGATATGAAGAAAACATTGTGATTGACTCCTATCAGTGGAAAAATTCTAAGATAGGCATTAACCTGAATTGGACCAAAATGTGTAGCCTAACCTAGTCACCCATAACTTAACCCTTGTTGGATTGAGATTAAGTTTAATGGGAAGGTTTTTTTATTAACAAATTTAATTCACTTACATGTATACTTATAACTTGTGCTTTGCAATAACATTTAAAAAACTCATAATGAAAGTCCACAGATTTGCAGGATGAAAAAAACACCATCACCTTAAGTTTCTTGCATTTCTTCAACATTTTATGCAACCAAGGAATCCTTTCCTCAATTGGACATATAAAATATCTACAAAATATTACAATCAAGATACACTTATATATTATAAAGACATAGCATATATTAAAAAGAAAATATATGTTAACATAGATATCAGCAGGATGGGCCTTGAATATTTTTGGTGAAGCTGATGGTTTACAACATGACACTGACAAAAATGACATAATTTTTGCAGCACATACTTTGATTCACTCCAAACTTTAAGTTTTTTAAGTTCTTTTAAACTCAAAGTTCAAAGTATCACTAATATAAGCACACAATAAAACTAATATCATCATCTCCCCTACCTTATCCTACTCCCGTAGGTTGGTGCGATGGCTCTTTGTCCTCCAAATAACTCTTATCATCAATCATCTCAGTCATCACTCCCTTCTTGATCATGTCATCTTTTACTCTATCCATCCATCTCTTTCTAGGAATATACATAATTTAGCTTACCCTTGTTGCAGCCCCTTTACTGTAGTTCTAACATTATCTTGCACTGAAATCAGCATTGGACTACTTTTCATTGCCAGTCTAGCAAGATTCTTAATCTTGTCATCGATTGTTGCACTAAATAATGCTGTTTGTCTATCCTCTGAAAATATTAATATTTACTGAACAAAAGGAATAATTTGAGCCATTTTTTCATTTAACAGACTGCATGTATAGGTAATAAAGACTGCCTGACAATATTACAAGGAGTGCTAAAGAACCCTTGTTGCTCTTTGCATTACCAAGGCCCTATCAGTTTATAAAACTATAACTTATGTTTGGAAAAAAATATTTATAGATAAAAATCTTCATTTGTTGAATAGATAGAGGAGGTAATCTTGCTAATCTTACTAATATTATAAATGCGAAAGTTTAGATGGATGGATGGATGTTTGTTAGAGTTTGTAGCCTAAAATGCTGAATGCATCTCAATGAAATTTGGCATACATGGAGAGAATAGTCTGGAAGAACACAGCCTATTTGGTTTAGTTTTTTTTAATACTAGCGGATGGAGTCTCGGGCGAAAGCTAGTAACTCATAAACATACAGCTTTACAAATAAAATTAAACATAGGAATAAACTGAGTATAACTAAATGTTAGTACTAATTTTTTGGCAAATTTCTGTGAAAAACATACCAGGTAATAACTTTATGATTCCAGCAATATGCTTCTCAAAGCCAGCTTCCAGCAACTTGTCCGCTTCATCTAAGATTAGGTACTTCATATTTTTAAAATTAAATTCAGTATTCTGCAAATGGTCCAGCAATCGTCCAGGAGTACTCACTATGATATTGATACCTGTAATAATTGAGAAAAACAATATATAAATCATACTAAGAACTATGTATTATGCAGTTGAAAATGCTTAGATATAGTAAAGTATAACCACAAAATTTCATAAGATAATTAATTTTTAAATGGAAAGAAAAAATATAGTGAATATAGAATACACATTTAGCATTGTCAAGAATATAAAGAAAAATGGTTGTGGTTAACAAAAATGTACCTTTTTGTAATAGTTTTATTTCTTTATGTTTTTTTACCCCTCCAACAATTAATATATGTGATAAATCAATTTCAGCAAGCAATCTCTTCAAGACTTCATTTGTTTGTAATGCTAACTCTCTTGTAGGTGATATTATAACACAACCCACACCTGAAATACCAAAACAAATAATTGAAATCTGTGTTAGGTCATAATACTGCATGTTCCGATATTTAAAAATTAATAAACCGTACCATGCTTTGAAGTGAATTTTAGTCTAAGTAAGTTTTCAACCACTGGAATTAGAAAAGCCAAAGTCTTCCCACTACCGGTTTTCGCTGCTCCTATGAGATCTTTTCCCAATAAGAGATGCGGAAGGATTTTAGCTTGAATTTCAGTAGGTTTTTCAAAACCCATTATCTTTAGGGTATTTAAAATACGACAGTCGATTTTTCCTTCTAACATTGAAAATGTGGATTGAGCGACTATATCGTCGGTATCCATGGCACATTGGTTTAAAAAGCGTTGCAAGTTTTACACGTTTAAGTTAAGTAAAACAAATATAGTTGCAGTACTTGTGTTTTGACCAGTTTTTGCCAGTTTTGACATAAGAAACAGCGACAGTTGACAGCTGCCGTCAAGTTGCCATTATAACTTTACATTACCAGTTTTGGGATAGATAAAGTTCAAACGAAGCATCTATGAGAGTTTTCGCTATTTCTTATTCAGAATAAACAGATTCATCTTGCATTCACCAGGCCTCCAAACAGGGAATCTATTTTTTCTGTACAATGTGATTAAATGTTTTACCTAGTGATAAATGTATTACTTACCAATAATTCTGGTTATTCATGACGTAGACGATTCTTATTAGAAGTTGGAACTTTAATTTGACAAATCAGAATTCTCCACGCGTTTAGTACACTTCTTTTTTTATTTATTCTTACACGTTTAATTTAATTTGATGGGGTTTTTGGACTTATAGTAAAATGTAATTATCTGTCAGTTTATAATAAATAAACGTCAGCATCAGCGGTTGGCTGTCAGTTTTCTACACGTTCTATTTATCGGCTAGCTGTTCCATTTACCGGTGTAAGAATTGTTGTTTTAATCATGGTTAATTCATCCTCTTGGGTCAACCATATCCAAGCAATTGTATTGATTCTTTTTACATTTGTTATATCCGCTCAGTCTGACGTCCCGAGACCGCGCGGTGTTTCTTTATCTAAAGCGTCCCTTTATTCTCCTACGAAAGACTTTACATGTTTTGATGGAACTGTGACAATCCCATTCAATTACGTGAACGATGATTATTGCGATTGTTTCGACGGCAGCGACGAGCCGGGAACATCGGCGTGCTTGAACGGAGTTTTCCATTGCACAAACGCAGGGCACCGGTCGGAAAACATCCCAAGCTCTCGTGTTAATGACGGTGTATGCGATTGCTGCGATGGATCTGACGAATATGCGGAACCCGAAACTTGCAAAAACACATGCGAGGAAATGGGAAGAGAAGCTAGAGCAGAAGCACAACGTTTGGCCGACTTACATAAAGCTGGAAATCATTTACGAGTAGAATTAATAGAGAAGGGTAATAAAAAGAGAAATGAAATGGCTGAGCAACTTTCTCAATTAGAGAAAGATAAAACTGAAGCAATAAAGATTAAGGAGGAAAAAGAGTCCCTGAAAAATCAATTAGAGGCTAAGGAAAACGAAGTTCTGCAAGTATACAGAGATGCAGAAGAAAAGGAAAGGAAAAGAAAAGCTGAAGAAGAAAAGGAAGCACTTGTCAAGGAAGGCACAGAATATTTCTCTATGTTTGACTCAAATGATGATAATGTGTTAACAGTGGATGAAGTAAAAGTTGTTAATGCTTTTGACAAAAATAAAGATGGTGAAGTTGACCAAGAGGAAATTCAATATTTCTTAGGCAATAATGAAAGTGTAGATAAAGAAACCTTCCTGTCTACAACCTGGCCTATGCTGAAACCTTTTGCAATGTCAGAGCAAGGTGTGTTCCAGCGGGGTGAAGAAAATGAGGAAGGTGATGATCATGATGCAGATGAAGCTACAAGGGATTTAGAAACTGACGAAGGAGACAATGAAGAGGAAAATGCTGATGAAGATCTCCCACAAGATATAGATCAGGAAGCAGAACCTGAGAGCAGTAGAGTTTATGATGATGAGACACAGAGAATAGTAAATGAAGCTACTGAGGCTCGCCGCCAATGGACAGATGCGGAAAGAGCAGTTCGGGAGATTGAATCAAACATCAGAAACTTCCAACAAAATCTAGAGAAAGATTATGGTCTCCAACAAGAATATGCTACTCTGGATGGACAGTGCTTAGAGTATGAGGATAAGGAATATGTTTATAAGCTATGTTTATTCCAGAAGGTGACACAGAAATCAAAGAATGGTGGAGCTGAGGTTGGTCTAGGTAACTGGGGTGAATGGGCTGGAGAAGACAATAAGAAGTATTCAGTGATGAAGTACACTAATGGCATTGCCTGCTGGAACGGGCCAAATAGAATGACAACAGTAAATGTACATTGCGGATTAGAAACCAAGATGTTATCAGTCTCAGAACCCTACCGTTGTGAATACAATATAGAACTGGCAACACCAGCCGCCTGTGATGAATCTAAGGCATCACAGCAACCATCGCATGATGAACTGTAATTATAATTTACATGTGAATGATTCACATATCCCAATGTGATGTTTTGCCACAAGTGTTAAGTGAAAGTCGGAAATTACCATTTTTACTATGGAAATGTGAGATCACAATTTGATCAGACCTACTATTAGAAAATTCATACAAATTAGGAAGACTTAAGTGTTAATGATAATTTGGATTTTGTAATTAATTTATAAAGCATTGTGGCACTTAACTATTTTTCTTCATATTAATTTTAAGTCACAGATTATAATTGCATTTCATTACCAGGTAGTGTATCCTATTGTAGTCGTACAATGTTTTGATGAAGACTGAAGTGGCAAGAGTATAACAGAAACACATTCCTCAAGTAAGGCTGTAATATTTCAAATAGAAGGAAATAAAAATCAATGAAGTTGAACAAAACATTGTAAATGATCAATAAAATATTGTTTTCGATTATAAAATTTCATGTTTTATTATTACCCACATATCAAAAAATCAACATCTTCCTCCTTATCTTACTCCTGTAGAGTCAGAGTTGTATCCAAAACCTACTCTTGGATTCGGCACTTTTTTATTCAGCCGGCCGCCTGTCGTGCCAACCCTACTTGGGATTATTTACACATAAAAAATATGTTTACAAAAACATGTTCTTATCATTAGTTTCCATGCAACTTGGTGCATTAGGTTAAAGAAATTATCATTGAATTAACAACATAAAGAGAACATTGAAACCCAAAGTATTTTAAAATAAAACTTCTAATTTTAAAATTAAAATATCCCGAATTTTAGATTAAAAATTACAAAATCGTATACTTGAATAAAATAAGTTTTTACGCGAACTAACAATGGGTAGATTGGAGCCAAATCGAAATTTGTAATCTGGCTACAACTCTGTGTTGCTGACATACTATATTTAACATTGTAGTATGTTTAAATCAATTTGTATATTGATTCATTAAATCTGTACTATCAAGTTATCTGAAGTTTAAAGGGTTACTTTATTTATGGTCCGGTTATCGTAGTTGTTACAAATAAATAGTATAGATAGGTTACAATGTAAGAACACGGCGCGACATAGTATAGTAGGGTAGGTTTTTTGTATGATTACGAGTTAACTCCGCACTTTGCGTTTGCAGTGGGTACATTGATAATTAGCAATGAATTTATATATATCAAGTTCCATTGCATTATTGTTTTTTTTTTAACTGATGTCACGGCGGCATTTTTGTGCAGAGATTCGCAAAAGGTTTGTATTCATGATTTAGAAGACTTTTTCATAAGATTCTTTCTATGGACTTCCATGCCATGGCTATTTGGTTTTCGTAACTTTATTTGTGATAAGCATGTTCTTATCAAATACTCTTGTTTGATAACAAGTATTGCCACGAAGATCATTCTATCTTGTCCAAGCTTATCTAAAGTACATCTATATGTTATGACTCTTTCTTTAAAATATAGCTAATAATGCAGTCACTTAACGTCACTGAGAGCCACCACAACGCTCACATTCGATACCCATTGGAGTAGACAGAATTTTCGGATTGGGCCTTTTCTTACATACTTCTCACACACCTTCTGTGTCTACCTTCGATATTCGTAGCAATTAGGAAAAGTTTAAAAGTGAAAATACAATTATTTACAGAATTGCAGAACGAGTACATAATTTTAATAAACTATAATGCTTTGTTTACAAATCTAGGAATGCTCATGATTGCATCAGATATGTTTTTTGTTGAATAGGGAAATCAATCGATGTATTTTCCAAGACTTATCGTAAAATGTAATTAAAACATAGTTCGCACACGTGGTACTATAATATTACTATTCATTGCCTTCAGGTGAGCGGAAACGGCAACGTTTGTATATATATTGGTACATTTAAAAAACTGTTTTGGCACAAAAAAACTTTTTAAGATTAATATGTTACAATTCTGTGGCGGTCTACGTTACCGTTATTTTCCTTAATTTTCGAAAATGTATTTAATAGACGAACCATACAAGTTTTGGATCGTCGTGTCGTCGGTAACGCAGTTGTTAAGCTTGTTTAAGCTTGGTCAAGCTCGATTCTCGCTCGATGTAACGCGGTGGGTCATGGTTCAAGAGATTGCTTACTACTAGATCATTTTATAGAAATTGCGCAAAAGATAAGAAAGAAAAGTCCCGGGAAAGCATTATAGTAAATAAACCTTGATCTTGTTTACCAGAGATTGGAAGGGTCAGGAAAGGAGATTTGATTAAAAAGCTATTTATAAATCGTCATCGATATTATTTTTAATCTTTTTCCTTACTTTAATAACTAGCTGTTGCCCGCGACCTTGTCCGCGTGGTATTAGAAAACATACAAAATATATAAATAACAAAAAGTTACGTATCCCTCGGGAACTGGACATTTCTAGGGGATGAACTTTATCCCATGTGTACTCCAGACTTTGCTTTATATCTGTGCCAAATTTCAATAAGATATGTTGAACCGTTGCAGAATGATCGAGTAAACATTAAAAAAACTAAATTAATGAATCCCACGGGAACCGAAACTATTCCCAGCATAAAAAGTAGCCTATGTGTTCTTCCAGACTATGCTCTAAACCTGTGCCAAATTTCATTGAGATCCGTTCAGCCATTTAGGCTACAAACGCTACCAAACATCCATCCATCCACTACGTAACTTTAGCATTTATAATATTTATAAATTTATAATATTTATAAATGCGAAAGTTACGATATAAGTGTTGTAGTCTTTTGCAACTTCTTCTTTCTTGTAAGATCATATTATTGCACGAGCAAAAAAAAAACATGTATATACTTCTAACTTTCTATCGAAAGGTCGTTTCGAGAATCGCGACTTTCGTTAAAAAATCTGGAAATATTAAATAAGGAATTAGGATCAACCAGTATAAACTTATGGATATGAATTACAAAAAAGCCGTGGTTAAACACTAAAGAAACATTTACAGGGATTCATTTGGATGTATAGGCCAAGTATAGGCAGTGGAATCCCACCGTAAGATTATTTTAAACCCTTTACTTTTTACACAATAAGTAAATGATTGAATTTGTTTAAACTTTAAAGGTTTGAATATATGTGGTGTAAAATGAATAAATGTTATCGAACTCTTCTAAGCATTTTATGCATTATTTTTATGTTCTATAACACTTTATCTGTGGTGTATGTTACACGAATTGTCAAATTACCTTATTGTCATTGTCAAGTTGTGAAGCTTGGTTGATATTTGCATTTACTCGCTGAACTTTTGGTTATAATTGATTTAAACTGCAAATACTTTTGATATATAATAATATAACTTTTGATATATCAATAACAAGGAAGATTCAAAGCTTTTATCATCTACGAACATTATGGAAACTATTTTAGAACAGCAAAGAAGTTACCATGAAGAAAGAGAGCGTACCATGGATGCTATGGTTAAAGAAATTTTACATAAAAAGACTGGGGTAAGTGGATTTTGATACTTATTGTTTACATTCTATTTAAGGTTAGATTGTCACAATAAATAAAGTTTCAAGATCCTAACCACTTTAGATATTTCGTTTATTTACGTTTTTATTCTACTTTAATTTCAGCACCGAGAAACTATTAATGGAGAACATCGATTGAAGAATTTACATGATGTAAGTAGTGATTTTTACTATTGTATTCATACATTGTTTAGTGGACAACTTCAACACATCTCTATCTTTCCTCTAACCTAGTAGAAGTCTTATCAAATATCTTGGTTATTCAAGGCTATCAACATGCTGCGCAATGCCCTCTCTCCATATTCTGTTTCACCTGAAATTGTGTTCTTTGCCGTTATTTATGGTTTTCCAAACCACCAAGACAAAGGCAACTGGTATGTTGTTATGGCAACCTGTTAAAGAATGGCTCCAGGGTAAATTGAAATAACTAGGATGTAGTTACGAAGTGAAAAATATTTCTCTGTTTCCTCACATTGTTTTTATAATTCACATATAAAAAGGAACACGTCACAATCAAATCGTAAAAAATATAAAAACATTTGTTACCTTGCACATTTAATCCAACCTCGTTTTTCAACAATACCTATCTTAGAATATTTATTTGAAATAAATCTTGTTTTAGAGATATGTGGAGTCTACAATCAGACTTAAAGAGTTGTATGAAGACAAGGATGGTTTACGTAAGGAAGAAATTGCTGCCCTTTCAGGTCCTAATGAGTTTCAAGAGTTTTATGCTAGATTAAAACAGATAAAAGAATTTCATAGGAAACATCCTAATGAAGTAAGTAGTTCATATATTTTATGAAAAACTAATTAATTAAAAATGTACTACTGAATTAAACAATTGATTTATTTTAAAGTAATTAACATGTAGTACCTTGAAGATTTTTTATGTTAATGATTTATTAATTTTAGATATGTGTGCCAATGTCTGTGGAGTTTGAAGAATTAGCACAATTAAGAGAAAATCCATCAGAAGATTATACAAGTAAGTTTGGCAATTTGTAATTTTATTACCTTGTTTCTGGTACAAAATGATTATACATTATAAAGAGTTAAGATGAGAACATTGTTTATAGTTAAATAGCATTTGCCCACAACTCTGCATGACATAAAAAGTAAGTAGCCTATTGTTCTTTCAGACCCACATTTGTGCTAAATTTAATTAGAATCTGTTAGTAATTCTAGAAATATATTTAAAAAAATGTTACAAATTTATTTTAGCACCAGTGGAGTTTACCGATGAAGAGGGTTATGGAAAGTATTTAGATTTACATGAATGTTATGAAAAATACATTAACTTGAAAGGTATTGAGGTAAGTTAACATTTTTTGTACTAATTAAATTTTCACGACAGTAATAAACACTTTTTTGTCATCTTTTGCAATTATCGGTAAATGTTTTTTTCAGAAAGTTGACTATATCACTTATTTAAGCATTTTCGATCATTTGTTTGATATTCCGCGTGAAAGGAAGAACAGTGAATATAGGAATTATATTCGTATATTGCTGACATATTTAAAGGATTTTGTGAGTAGAGTGAAACCATTGTTAGATCAAGCACAAGAGATGGCTGTAGCTCATCAGGATTTCATCAAGCAATGGGAAATAGGAACCTTCCCTGGGTGGCCGGTATGTATATTTTAAATATTTGTTAGAATTGGTGTGGTTGTATTTATTAGTTGTGGCTTGTGACATCAATCCTGTGAAATTAAAAAAAAATTAAAAAGTACAGCGTATGTTACTGATAGAATTTTTCAAATAGCTCAGTAGTTTTTGAGTTACTTTAATACAAACTAAGATACAAATCATTCCTCTTTAAAATATTAGTATATACAATAGAACCTCTATAAGTCAAACCTCGGTAACATAAAAACCTCTATAACTTCAAAGAATAATATGTTCCCTTCCCATCAGAGTACAAAACCTCTATAGCAAAGACCCTTGATAACTTAAAACCTCTATAACTTAAATTAGACTTAGATTTCATATCTTATTTACTACTCCCTAACATATTTTAAGTACATATTGTTACTAAGTTTTCTATGGTTTATAGATTTTAATCCATTTCACAGAAAGAAACTGGAGGTGCTTTAACAAATGTTGGTGCCCATTTAGATTTGTCAGCTTTTTCGTCTTGGGAAGAGCTGGCTTCTTTGGGCTTGGATAGATTAAAATCGGCTCTTATGGCGTTAGGGCTCAAATGTGGTGGAACTTTGGAAGAAAGGGCACAAAGGTAAATAGTAAGCATTTTTATTCTGTTACCAATCAAAATACTATATAAACGTTTATTTTTAAATTTCAGGTTGTTTAGCACAAAGGGACAAACAGCTTTGGATAAATCTCTCGTAGCTAAGAAAGGGGCGACCAAGGCAAAGGCTTCTACGCAACAACGCCATAAAGATATTGGTGCTATTGAAGCTCAGATTTACAGGTATTACTGATTTTTAAATTAGTAACTTAGGTGGCAATCCAAAGTAGGCCATCGTTTTTGACTATTAGTTTTTAAATACAATAATCATAATTTACCAAGTACCATAAATTTAAAAGTTTATCCCACTTTTCTTATAAGACAAGGGAGAGGAAATAGTTTTGGTGTGGGGATGGGATGCATTAGTAATGCATTAGTAGGGCAATGGTTTTTTCGCTATTTACGGCCAATAACTATATCTTACTATCATAAATGCCAAAGTTTACATGGACAGTTGTTTGAGTTTGTAGCCTAAACTGCTGAATGGAACTCAATGAAATTTAGCATAGATGTAGAAGATATTCGGGAAAAACACATAGGCTACTCGCTTTTGTTTTTTTCTATTATTTCCAAAAAGTGAAGTCGCGTGCGAAAGCTAGTATACTATAAAAAATATTTCTTTTTTTGTTTTGTTAAGATTTGCGAATGTGGTAAGCGCAACTCGTACAGCGACAATAGAGAATGTGACGCGTCGTGCGGCGCGCGCAGCCGGCGAGCGACGCGACGAGAGCGACGACGAGAGCGACGCCTCCGCCGCCCCGGATGTCGACTCTGATGATGACGAGGTGCCTTACAACCCCAAGAATTTACCACTCGGATGGGACGGCAAGGTAACTTACATTTTACTAATAAAATCGGTTTAGATACACTTTTATAATGATTATCTATGTAAAAAATTGTTATTGTTATCAAAATATGTAAAAGAAACCAAAGATATTCTATAGTGTTTAAAATGGAAATACACATATTATGTTTGGTGTTCCCATTTAAGGAGTTTAGTAACACTTGCATAGTATGTATGTTTGTAGAGTAATTGATTTCAATTTCATCTAACCTCCGTTTTTAGTAGTAATCATACTAATATTGTAAATCAGAAAGTTTAGATTGATCTATGGATGAATGGTAGTAGATATCTCCAGAACGGCATAATGGATCACTGTGAAATTTGACAAAGACACAGATATAGAACATAGTCTAGAACACTTCGGTTACTTATTTTCTCAATTTCGCGCATGCAGAGACGCGGGAAAACCCTAATTTATTTAAAGTTTCTTATTGTAAGTTTTTTTTATTTTAGCCCATACCATATTGGTTGTACAAGCTTCATGGATTAAATATAAGTTACACATGTGAGATATGTGGTAATTACACATATAAGGGCCCGAAAGCGTTTCAAAGACATTTCGCGGAATGGCGCCACGCACACGGAATGCGGTGTCTAGGGATTCCTAACACTGCTCATTTCGCTAATGTCACGCAAATAGAAGATGCACTCGCATGTGAGTATAATATAATTGTGGATTTAAGGATTTCTACATGTTTAATTTATAGTAACAAACAAAAAATATGGTCTTTAACTTCACATTTCACTAGACTGAAACAGAGTTATGTTCAAATGCAATGGAAATCCACTTTTACATTATAGAAGAAAAAGTACATGAGTAATTAAATGTTACTTTCAGTATGGGAGAAAATTAAAAATCAAAAGGAGAACGAGAGGTTTGTAGCGGAAAATGACGAAGAGTATGAAGATTCTCAAGGAAATGTAGTCAACCGCAAAACTTACGAAGATTTGAAACGACAGGGTCTTCTGTAAATTAGTCATAAAAATTCTTTTTAATAAAGATTTCATTAGTATATTTGTGTTTAATTTTTGTTTACAGTACTAAGTAAATACTATTTATGATCTTGTTATATTTGTGGCCGAGAAGCAAAGTAAAAATGATGTCGTAAATATGCCTTTACACTAGCAACACTGATTAAAAAACTGTAATATCAATGTCACTTGGTAAATGTCAATGACCGTGACAATTGACAACTCGAGGCAAGGTAAATAAAAACACGTGCGTCTTTGAATTAAAAATAACAAATAAAAAGTGAATAAGCATCTCTACTGATGTATTTTAATGTTTCCGAGCTGTGAGGACATTTAATAATCATGTCTTCAAAATCAAGTAGTCAAATATTCACCGGTTCCAGAGTATTAGGTTATGTGAGTACACATGTACCTTTTGTAGCCCGATTTATTAAAAGACGCGGAGAAACATTGCTATGTACAAGTGTTGGGAAGTGGTTTCATACGTATGGATGTGATAAGTTTCGTTTGCTTAGTATAAGCGGTGAGCATCCTGGGCCAATCACTTGTATGAGCGGCGACAACTTCTACGTATATACTGCTAGTGAAAACGACATATATGCTTGGAGACGAGGATGTGAACTGAAGCACGTTTACAAAGGACATCAGGCATCTGTTCACAAGATATTACCTTTCGGTAAACATCTCATATCAATAGATAAAAACAATGTATTAAAGATATTTGACATTAAAGACGAAACAGAATTCTTGGAACTAAGTTTCAATGAAAGTGATTTTCAAATATCTACAATATGTCATCCTCCAACTTATCTGAACAAGATATTGCTTGGTAGCTGGCAAGGAAAACTTCAAATTTGGAATGTTCGCACTTCAAAGTTGGTATACACATTTGATGGCTGGAAATCTCCAGTAACTGTTACAGAGCCTGCACCCGCTGTGGATGTAGTTGCTATTGCTTTAGCCAATGGGAAGATCATTTTACATAATTTGCGCTACAATGAGAAAGTTATGGAGTTTGTTCATGATTGGGGCAAGGTGAGTTGCTTATCATTCAGGTTGGACGGGATCCCCGTAATGGTGACAGGAAGCACTAAAGGTCATATTGTGATGTGGAATTTAGAAGAGAAGAGAGTGATGTCACAAATTCAATCGGCTCATTCCTCCCGTGTGGCTGGTCTGCAGTGCTTATCATCGGAGCCCTTGATGGTGACAAATTCACAAGATAACTCTTTGAAGATGTGGATCTTTGATATGCCTGATGGTGGTGCTAGACTTTTGAAGATAAGGTAGGTTAAAATACAGTTAAAATAATTCGGAACAAAAAATAGTAAAATAACATGATTGTATTTTGATAATAAAATAAATAGGAATACAAGAACTTACTATTAATTATAGGTGACTTATAATATGTATATAGATGTTGCAACTATGAAAATAATCTTCTCTATTGTTCTTAGTTAAACAATTTCTTTAGGGTTATATTATATTATTTTCTAATTATTTCTTGCTTTCCAGGGAAGGGCTATCTCGTCCTCCAAACTTGGTCCGCCATTGTGAACCAACAGGAGAGAATCTGTTAGCAGCTGGACGTGACAGTAGCCTGCACATCATGAATACCATCACGGAGACATTTAATAAGAGTATGGGAAAAGCATCTTATAATAGAAAGGCTTCTAAGAAGAAAAGTAAGTTCATGAATATGCATTTCCTTCTAGCTTTAACATGAGAAAATTATCATATAATAGTCATACCAAGAACAAGGTCATTAAAACTAATCAGGAAGAAAATCATATGAAAATGGACATTAAGGATTCAATTTAATAAAATTCATATTTTTTTCAGAGAGAACTGAAGTAGATTACCTTGTTTTACCTCCAATAACAAAACTAAGCTCTTGTATGCAACGAGATAAGCAATGGGATAGCATAGCGTCTCTGCATGATGGCATGTATATGGCCACCACTTGGTCGTACAACAGGATATGTATGGGTGAACATAAGCTGAAACCTCCCGATATGGAAAAAGGTGTTCAGGCCACGTGCTTGACGGTTACACATTGTGGAAACTTTGTTGTTATAGGTAAGATGTAGTATTACTTCAGAAAAACATGAAAAATATTGAGCTTTTCTGTAGTCCAATTAAAGAGAATTGACATGTTTATGTCCTTACAATTGATTCTAAACTATTTTTCTAAGAAAACTCTATAAAATTTGAATATGTAACAACATGTAAATCATAAGACCAAACTTAAATTCCAAAATCTACTAATAGCTTCTAATACATTTTAATACTTACTGAACAAAATGTTTAAATTGTTTTAGTATTCGGCCATTATTGTTTCACATGTAATTTAATATTCTTAAATCCTTTTTATTCTTTATCCTGCGGTTTTGATTGAATTTTCAAATGCACTTTTAATTTGTGCTTAGTTTTAAATGTAATTTTTTTCTAGGTTATACTAATGGACAAGTGCATAAATTTAATATGCAGTCAGGTATTTACCGAGGTTTTTATGGGAAAGAGAAAAAAGCAGCCCACAAAGGAGCGATCAGAGGAGTGGAGACAGATCTTTGCAATCAAAGAGTATTTACAGTAGGTGCTGATGATAAAATCAAATTTTGGTATTTCAAATCAGGTAATTTCTTGTGATATATCAGGCATAAATATAAAAAATACCCCTCTTCCTTTAAATCCAAGGTATTATTTCTTGAATGTTCTTTTGAATAGATCTTTTAAAAAAACTTGATTGTTTTGTAGCTACTACCCCATTCCATGTATTAAAGTTAGAAGAATCAGTAAACAGCACTAAGTATCACAGAGACAGTGGCCTGTTAGCGCTGGCTAATGAAGATTTCACAATAACTTTGGTTGACGTGGATACTATGAAAGTTGTGAGAAAATTCGACGGACATGTCGGTAAAATTAATGATATCGATTTTGATTGTCAAAGCAGGTCAGTAAATTGTACAAAAATGTAATATTGTATTAAAAAAAACTAGCTAAAGCATGATGTAAGTATAGGGCTTTTCATTAAAAAAAGAATTATTCAAAAATATGATGTAATTGCTGACATCTTAGGCAACAAAGAAGTGTGTGTTTAAGCTTTATTATAATAGTATACATTTGAGCAATTATCACTTAAATGAACGAATAATCCTGTTTACAAAAATCTAGCAAGTTTCGATTTATGGGGTAAATTGTAGATGGAAAAGTATTCATTTGTTTTTTTTTTTCATTTAGATGGTTGGTAAGCTCGTCGATGGATTGTACGGTTTGCACTTGGGATATACCCAGTGCACAACTTGTGGATATATTCTATGTAAGTTGCATTAGGTACTTTTGTAATTACAACAAAATTTTGCAAAAAATAGCGTTTTTTGTTGTTGTTTTTTTTATGAAAAATGTTTTTTTTTTTACCAATGAACATTTTAATGTTGATTTATTAATTTATCGTAGGTAGAACAGCCGTGTACATCATTAAGTATGTCCCCGACTGGGGACTACTTGGCTACAACACATGTTGGAGAGTTAGGAGTTTTTCTTTGGGCCAACAAACTTTTATATGAAAGAGTTTTCCTTAAAGGCATTGACAGGAATGCAGTTGACATACCCAAATTAAGTATGTTCATATTATTTTATTTGTTAAATGTATTTACAAAAAAAAACAAAATACCATATGGTTTTTTTTTATTTTTTTTCACAGAATTACCAAACTCGGCAATTGAAAAGCCGCAAATAGAAGACATAGGAATCATAGATTTGGGTGAACCTGAATATAAATCTCCTGAACAAATAAGTAAAGAACTTATAACTCTATCCGATCAACCGACTTCGAGATGGTTGAATCTTTTGAATTTGGACATTGTTAAAATGAGAAATAAACCGAAAACGGGAATAACAGTTCCCAAATCCGCACCATTTTTCCTCCCTACCATACAGAGTCTTGAACTAGAGTTCGATTTAGAGAAGGACAAAGAGCTAGGAGATAAAAAACTTCTAATACCTGAATCTTTATCTACTTTGTCACCGTTTGCGAAGCAACTAGTCGCTTGTAACAATTCAGAGGAATATGTACCGTGTGTGGATAAACTCAAGACTCTATCTCCCGCTGCAATAGAGGCTGAAGTAATTAGTATGGGAATAGACGCGGGAGGATCCATAGAGGTTATGAAACATTTCTTGTCTATGGTCGGCTGTATGCTTAAAAGTAACAGGGACTTTGAATTAGCTCAATCGTATTTGGGTTTATTCCTAAAAACTCATACAAAAGCGATATCTCAAAGTAATGAGTTGCTAAACGTACTGGAAACTGTTGAGGAGGCCGCGGCGGAGACGTGGTCGCGGCTTCAGACACATCTCATGTACAATATTTGTGTTGTTAAAGCATTAAAAGATATGTAAGAGTTATACGTTTTTTAATTACTTTATTTTCCTATGAATGAGCATCTTTTTGGTATATCGTAAAGGGGGAAGACATTCTAAAATAAGTAACTGTTGCTCGTGACTTCGCCCTCGTGGAATAAAAAAATAATAAAAACACAGCCTACCTAGTAGGGTATCAGTAGATGACGTAGCTTTTTAATGGTGCAAGATTTTTTGTAATCGGTTCCATAGTTTTTGAGTTACTTCAATACATACAAAAACAAATCTTTCCTCTTTATATTACTAAGTGATAAGGGTAGTTAGATAGAAGATTAGCTTAGAGTTATAAACATAAGCCTACTTTAGTGTGCAATTCATTATAGTTTCTATCGTCATCATCATCATCATCATCATCAGCTCACTATAAGTCCCCACTGAGGGCCTCTGCTTACCCTTAGTTAGAGGTGACTACGTCTAAATCACATTGAAATTCGAACACAGGACCTGTTAATTATAAGTCAAGTGCTCAAACCCCAGAGCCAAAACGGAGCTAAGAATGAAAATAGGGTATTAGTGTCTAACGAGAACCATTCTGTTCCTAAAGAAGCCTATAACGAGTTCTTGAATCGGCGCTTTTCCTAATAATGTTTATTGTTAACCAAACTCGCTATAAGCATTAAACTTTTTAACAAGGAACAATGAAGGAAGCACTTAGCTTTCAAAGAGAAAATTGGAAAATACTTCCGATATTGTTGGTACTTACAATAATTATGGTTCAAGAACTTTACTTTCGAATTTTATTTTATTACTTTATTGAGAGTTTGCATCTTAATCATCAGTAATTATAATACTGACATTTAGATTTGAGATATTACGAGAGAAATAAGTTGGTATCTGAATGTGTGAAAGTAAGTGTTCGGTACTGATCGTATGCGGTCATACGAACATAATTTTGTATTTCGCGCCCCGGGTTTCGTGCGGGTAAGCGCGCCTATTTTATTTTTCCCACGGGCGGGTAGATGGATAAACCCTCTCCACTACGGACGGGCGCGGGGCCTGCGGAGAGGGGTGTGAAAAAAAGGTCGGAATCAAGCAGCCAAGCGGAACGGTTGCGAACACTTGTGCGGATTAGAGTTGCTCTTTGTATAACGCGAAGACACAACAGGCGTGTCGATTTCGGTAGCGAACGGGATCGCTAAATTTGGTTTCGCGTTCGAAATCACTGGTACACCTTCAGGCAGCATCGCTGGGCCTATAGACTTGACTGAACCAGACTTTGACTCGATTGACACTGAGACAGGGCACCTGCAGGAGGTGAGGCAATTCGATCGAGCTGGTGAGTACCATTTCCCCTTACGTTTACAATATTATGCCCTCCGGTGCAATCGTAGTTCAAGGGTAGGTTGTGCCGCGGGATCCGAACCCGTTTGTACGGCACAGTAGAGAGAGTATATGATAGCTTATTATATTTCTTTATTTAGTAAACATCACACATAAGTTAACGAAGGAATAGGTATAAGAATTAAGTATTTCTATTTTAAGTCTTCTATCAGAAATATAAAAGAGTGATTTCGGGCCAACTACAAAATAAAAGACTTCTGTATTGTTTATAACTAAAGATATGGAAAATTCTTAATAATCGTCTCGTTTCGATACTATTAACAAATTTACAGAACAAACAATATTAAACAAATGAATTTTGTACATATCGTAGATCGGATCAGCTTTTAACACAATTAGGTTTTGCTACTAATTGTAGCAGTATCGTTATCTCGTAATGACTACAACTGATCAGTTTTCATTAGAAAATGATATTGCCAGCAATAAATATACTGTTGCATATTAATTAATAAGTATCCTTTTCATGCCTATTTTTTAGTTATTTATCCTGGTAATACTATGTTAAGTAATAAGTTTAAATCAAATCAAAATTTTCAATTCAAATCGAAGGTAATCAAATCTATACTAATATTGTAAAGAGGAGATTTGTATTTTTGTATGTATTGAAATAACTCAAAAACTACTGTGCATATTTTAAAAAATTTTTCACCTTTAGGAAGATAATTTATATGTAAGTAACTTAGTTCAATTTCACTTGGGCGAAGTCGCTTGCACTGGCTAGTCAAAATAATCTTACTACTTAATATTATAAATGTAAAAGTTTGGATGGATGGATGGATGGATGTCCGTTACTAAGTGGTATAGATATAAAACATGAACTAGAAGAGTAAAGGTTACTATTTGAATTTTTAAAATTCCTTGTGGACGGAATTGCGTAACGACCAATAAAATAATAAAATTGAAACTTACAATGAAGAATCAAAAGCTGTTGCTTATATGTTTAAAAAAGCATGCAGCGTACTGATATTAAAACTCAACAGATAATATACAGTTTCATACGAAAAGGTTCATAAAATAGATACCGAGAATAGGATAGAATATAGAGCAGTCGTTAACAAAGACATTTTTAATGAGGCGCAAGGGTAAACCAGTAACCGCAGTACACAACGTAGCTTAATTCGTTGCTGCAATAGCAAATCACCGCGTGGTAGCTTAAAATCTGATTACACTGATTTGTGGTCAGGCGATGCTGCGTCGCAACGTTTCGTGCTGTTTGCAAACGAAATATATTGCTCGCTATTTTTTGATGCTATGCGAATATGTATCTTCAATTTAGATAGACAAAATATCCGCCTCGAAGGACCATTTCTGATAATTATATTAAGGTCTGTAAACATTTTTGTAATCAAAACAGAACCTTTGTAATTAAAAAGTGAGTACTTGTATAATAAAAATAAGATCCGTTAAAAAAGGAGTTAATTAAGAGATAATAACAAAAATAAGGAGAGGCTCATACGGAGAGTAGTTCAAGGAATTTTGTTGTATAGAATTGTACTATTGTACTGAATGCATTTCAAAATCAACTTCAATTTTCCTGTAAACACATCGCATTGACGTGAACATCAAAGAGCAAATGGGCTTTGCTCATGGCGGCTCTGTTTAGTGCGCAAACAACTTGTGTTTCCTATCTCAACGGTAAATTATCCAAAACAAAAGTAAAAGTAAACGAGAATTGTTAGTATAAAACGTATCGTTGCACTGTATTCACTAAACTTTTTAGTCTTTTACATTTTAATTAATTTACGTTAACTAATATAAACGATTCTCTAACACTGCATATTTCTTGTTGTGGAGTTTGTAAAATATTATCGGGCTATATGAACACAAAGCGCTGTTTGATAGAAAATATAGAAATATTCATTATGGTACGCTATTCGTTGGATGCCGTGCTATTGAGACATAAATCTAGGATACAAATGTAATAGAAGGAGAGTTTTTTGTTTGTTTAGTAAAACAAGTTGTGCACAATAATTTCGTCGTTCTTTAAGTAAGTAATGTTCCAAACATGTGAAGTGAATAGAGGCATTGTGAATAGAAACATGATAGAGATGGGAATCATAATTTTCCCGCAACATTAGACAATAGTTAATCGGATTTCGTTCAGGAATCCAATATTACATTCACATCATTATTACGACAATGAAAATTGTGAGCTTTAGTAATCAATTTCAAGATAGATGGATAAATGTTTTCTATTTAAAATCAAAATAACTACGATGAAAACTTTTAAAAGAAACTTACATTACCCGTGATGTTCTTTAGATTTAGAGTGTTAATTTCATTTATGTTTAATGAAAATATTCATCAAGATAATGAACAGTAAAGAAATTTTAGTCTAAGCTATACGTTGATAACTATTGCAAGCGATATTTTTAAACATCTGTCAATTTAGTTTGGTGGGATCGTGGTCAAGCGCTAGCTTAAAAAACTTAAAAAAAAAAGTGCAATAAGTTATAAGTTGGTCTGGCCCGACTAGCCGAAAGGTAATATTTTACGAATGTACGATCTATATGATTAATGATCATGCATATAGGTACAGATTTTTGTTTTTAATTACTAAACATCTAGAATGAAGAAAAAAATGTCAAGTTAAGTACACAGACAGAGGAGTTTTCTTTTATGTTTATTACTTGTGTCTATGAGCCTAGGATACCATTTTAGATAGACTGCCGTTCAAGGTATTGCAAAAGGGTCAATTGTCAGATCATAAAACGGTCATTCATACCGGCTTATAATTTTGAGTACATCATTTAATAAGAGTTCAATCACTTAAGAGTATCATCGAGACAAAACAATGAATTTTAAGAATATAAACCGACTGAAGGGGCAACATATTGTCTGGTTTTATCATTCGTTGCCAGATCCCCATTGTGTCTGTAAAGTTAAATTATTCGATTCTTTCGTATGAAATGAAGGGAAAATTTTATTCGAAATGTTTTCTTTGAGGTTATTAATACAAAGAGGGTTTCGAAGCTACATTATGTAAAGATATGCGTAATCAATTGTTCATAGAATAACGGTAAAAGCGGTCAGGAATCTGAATGAATATTAAACAATTCTCTCTTTAAATAGCAGTCTCGACACTCTATTGACTTTAAGATTCATTAGCGAGCGTAGGTAATTAAAACCAGCAATGCAGAAAAACAAGGATCATGTTTTATGCACGTTTTCTTTTTAAACTATAAACATTAATAATGATTATGGTTAAACAACAAAGGTTATTTCTTATTGGTTAAACATTTAATTCACTCGAACAAATTTTATACCAATACTTTTGTGTCGTATCTGTTAAAAAGTAGTACAAATATTTTTGGATAAATCGATATGAATACGTATCAAAGAATACGTGAAGGAAAATTAAATAATACTTCTACAGTACGAATTAAATATTATTGTATTGAACGGAAATGAGGGCAACGTGATTGAATTTCTGAACGCAACTTCTGTACAACCTTCGTTAATATATGTAAAGTAATTATAAGTTTCAGGTCACTAAGATATTAATACTTTATTACTGCGATGTAATCTATCTACACTTCCATATAAGGTTTAAGAATATATTTATTTCCTTAATAAGAATTACAAAATTCACTTACTTAAGGAACTTATTTATCTAACATTTATATTATTATATAATGCAAGCA